TAGTGAAAAATGAAACATTATGAAGCAAATTCTATTATAGATGCTATATTAATGTTGACAGGAGAGATTTGCAATGGTTCAAAAAAGCTGCTGGAGTTCTGTCATGTTTACAGCAGTAACCCATGAATGATTCATCACCAAAAACTGATTTACAGGATTTTCCTCTTATCCCAAATGTGGCCAATCAGCTAAGACATGTTTGGTGTGTGAAGGTCTGTGTCACTCAAATCTTTAAATCTGTAAAAATAACTGAAACTGTGCAGCTATACAGCAGGGGCAGCCAGTTTATCAACTGGAATCACTTTCTTTCTTCAGTAAAATTTGGTATCATTCCGTGCAAGACGACAAGAGGCAGAGTTGTTTGAAATGATAGCACAGACACGGTAGACCATTACAGTCTACAGCATATATGTACAAGTATCAGTATATATATATCAGTCAGTTAGAAAATCAGTGAGTTAGAACTTAACTTTGCAAGCTCCAGCAGTCTCCAGCAGATGTCAGTGTACAAAGTAATTTCTCATGGCTTGAAACAGTGATGTTGTGATGTCTTCTATGTCATAGTGAAAATACTAGTAAACATCACATGACTCACTACACATCAAAAGTTAAAAATAAAGTGTGCTGCATATTCATGACGATTCATATCTATTTAGAATTCATATAAAACCCTCAGATTCCCTCTTTTTCAAAAACAAGCAAAACACATACATGCACAGATACACAGACACAAAAAATGCTAATGTTGTCTAGTGGTTTTGGCTTGATCAGAGTGCAGCTTTAAACCCAGTAGAGAATATTTGGTCTCACACTAAAAACAGACAAGTTTGGCAATGTTTTTGTACTGTTTAAAGTCATCAGTGCTGAGTGAAAGTTTACCTACAACACTTCAACTATCTACTTCATCTAGTACTTTATCTATCTATCTAATTCTTGCTGATTTACTGATTAATGATTTGTTCTTAAGACCACTAAAAGCTTAGTGTTTTGCCAATTTGAGCTTGGCCCATATTTATTTATTTATTTATTTATTTATTTAGGCACAGGAGTGTACTTATTGGAGCCAAAACAAGAAAGCCCCAAGCTTTCGTTGAAATCTAAATTTGGAAAGCATTACAAAGTCATTGCTAAGGCTCTGGGACTCCAGTGAACCACAGTGAGAGCCATTATATTCAAATGGAGAAAACTTAGAACAGTGGTGAACCTTCCCAGGAGTGACCGCCCTACCAAATTTTCACCAAGAGTGCATCTACAACTCATCCAGGAGATCACAAAAGAACCCAAATGATCATACCCACCGTCAAACATGGTGGTGGTAGTGTGATGGTCTGGTGCTGCTTTGCTTCTGCAGGACCTGGACGACTTGTCATAATTCTACTCTCTAGCAGTAAAAAAACGCATCCGTTCGTGACCTAAAGTTCAAGTGCAGTTGGATTATGCAGCAAGACAACAATTTGAAGCACACAAGCAAGTCCACCTCTGAATGGCTCAAAAGAAACTAAATAAAGATTTTATAGTGGCCGAGTCAAAGTCCTGATTTGAATCCCTTCGCAATGCTGTGGCAAGACCTTAAACAAGCAGCTCATGCTTGAAAACCATCCAACACAGCCAAATTAAAACAATTCTGCAAAGAAGAGTGGGCCTAAATTTCTCCACAGTGATGTAAAAGACTTATCGGAAGTTATTGCAAATGTTGATTGCAGTTGTTACCAAGTTGTTGCCAAGGGTGGCACAACCAGTTATTAGGTTTAGGGGGCAATTACTTTTTCACATGGGTGATATAGGTTTTGAATAAATCTTTATCCTCAATAAATGATCACTTAAAAGACACATTTTGTATTTACTCGTGTTGACTTTATCTTATATTAAAATTAGATGGATGATCTGAAACATTGAAGTGTGAAAAAAGCAAAAACAGAAAAAATTGGGTGAGGGAAAAATACTTTTTCACAACACTGTATACAAACAGGATCCAGAAATGCTGCCACCTTCTCTGAGCCTGAGCTCATTTAAGATGGACTGAGGACTTCTGCACATCTGTAAACGCAAGATTAATGCTGAATGACATATACAGATTTTGGAGCAACATACGCTGCTATCCAGACAACATTTCTTTCAGGGAAGGCCTTTATTATTTCAGCAAGACATTGCCAAACCACATTCTACCAAACATTTCACTTTCAGAACTACAACAATTGGTCTCTTCAGTTCTCAAATGATTTTTATTAAAGAAGAGGTGATGCAACACAGTGGTAAACATGCACCTGTCCCAACTTTTTTGAAACATGTTGCTGGCATTAAATTTAAAATGTTTTTCAAAGAAACAATAATATTTCTCATTTTCAACATTTGATATGTTGTGTTGTCTCTGTACTATTTTCAATTAAATATAAGGTTTCAATGATTTGCACAGCATTACATTCTGTTTTTTTATTTACATTCCGCACAGCATCCCAACTTTTTTGGAAATGAGGTTGTATAAGCACTGTAATGAAAAAGTCACAAGCCAGATTCATATTAAGCATATTAAAATTATGTATGAAAAAGCTAATCATCCAGACAAGGAGCTTTTCAGGTTTGTTTACTAAAAGTTAGTTAAAATGGCAGTGACGCTGCCAAGAGCTCAGAAAACAAGTCCCTTTCTGAAATAATTGAGTGCAAATATAATATAAAAATTTCACCTCTCAGGCTGAGGGAAACCCTTTGGCACTAAGCTTAACCCTGGGATCTTTTGTGTTACTTGTAAAGTCTCATGGTGAAAGCCTGAAAGAAACAAGTAAGGGTGATGGAAGAACAAGTACAAAGAACACAGCAGGGATGATGAGCACATACATAACACATAACAAATACATAAGTGCACCAAATGATTCCAAGAGGCTGTACCTCTGTATAAAGATTGTGTGAAGATTTGTATTCTACAGGACCATTAGTGGTGGTGGTGTAGTAAGCATGGCCACAAGTGATTATTATAGGGTAAACAGCTCAATGACAATGCTTTTGTTTTTGGGTGCTGGCATTAAAGGGGGCAGAATTTCGTTGGTCAAAGCCCAGGAAAACAACACAGACAGAAAGGACTAATAATGACAGGTAAATTGCTTATAAAACAAACAGGAAAAACAGATACACTGTTGTCAGGGTCCTTTAAACAAAAATAATGAATTCCTTAACTCTTAATTTTTCATTTGCAGTGAACTGCCCCTAGTCTTTGAACCAGGCTCAACGAGGCCCTGGTAGTAAGAGGCTCCTGGGCACTGGTCAGTAATCCATCCCTGATTATGATTGATAAAGAGGGAGTATGTAGAAGATCAAAACACATCCACAGCACAGGTGAAGCTGCTAAGGGATATTTCACAGGAACCAATGAGGAATGTAAAATACATGGTACCTAAGCAAGGGGACTGTTTAGCCAATGTGCAGCTCTAAAAAAGCAACAGTGTGTACTATGGTATGTTACTGTGAAAAAGAGGAAACAGGTAAAGCAGCTGTAAATACAGAAGTAGATACTCTTGTTTCTTGGGCATGTAGGAGGTCCAAGCTTAGAAGGGGGCAATGGTCAAAGATAGCCATTAGAGGATAAGTAGCTTGAAAACACTTATTGTCATGATAAGGAAACATTGTAAGCCATATGCAAGGGCAAGAGGCCTCAAAGGGTTAAAGACTTGCGAATGTGCTAGCATTTAGACTAAAACTTTCAGGAAGAGGTTTCAGGTGACCTCACTGGACCATTTACCCTAAATCCAGTCAGGGAAACCATTACCTGTTGGTAGTAGCATGTAACTATATGAGCTACAGAGCAGTAAGTCTCCAAAATGAAACAACTAGGAGGCACGGGATATTTACTTTAAAAACAAAGCAGTAAATGGCTGGTTCAGAGAATCTGGAGTGTGCCCTATCAGGTATGTCTATGGTCCAAAGGTATAGCAGAAAGAGAGATCTCTCTTAAGAGGTGGACAGCACCACATTGTGATAATGGAAAATTAGATATGAACAGATAATAAACACCACTTTTTATGGTCTGGAAAAGATGTGCCCAAAATCAGAAGTGAAGCCCAAAAGCAAGTTGCAAATCATTGCATTCTGTTTTTATTTACATTTTACACAGCGTCCCAATTTTTTGGAATTAGGATTGTAGATTTAACAACCTTTTTATTGTTAGAAATGCAGAACGAAATGGACATGGAGGTCTAGACTGTGTTTCGTAAGCAGTGACTAGAAAAGATACTGCTTTCACATGTCTTCAAGGAAGCATCTGGTAGTCCAAACAAGGAAAAAAAGGAAGTTGACCTTATAAGAAATCTAGTGGAAAAGTATCATGTCAGAGTGAGCAACTCCTGTAAAGGACGGGGGATTATTACTCTCCTGAAAATTCTGTATAAAACAGGTCGACTACCCAGACAAGGAGTTTTTCAGGCTTCTTCGCTTTAAGTTGATGTGGTCAAGAGGACGAGCCCCATTTGAAACAAGTGAGTTAAACTAAAATATATTGCAATTTATGAAATCATCCTCAATCATCTATTTTTTAGAAACAGAAAGCTAGGGGAGAATCCTAGATGATTTATAGGGCTGTTGCAAGGATTATGATAGGGTCACCCATCACAGGTGTGGGAAATCCTTTGACACTAAAACAAACCCTTGGATCGTTTTGTATTTACTGTGTGGTGTAAACCTGGGGAAAATGGATAACGGTACCGAGAGTACAGGTACTAAAAGACTGGCATCAGAGACAGTATAAGAATAAAGGTGACACTTGGTCATCAACAATGACAATGTATATATTTCAATAAACAGAAAATCTAATCAAAATATAATCTATATTTATACCCAATTGGAGTGGCACATATTGCATATAGACTGACAAGCATATATGCATGGAGATTTCTCTGTTGATTTCACTTTGTATACATTTAGTTAAACTTTAAACACTGACCTCCCTGCCTTTACTGGTCTCTATCACTATGGCTTAACTCTGGATGAGGTCAAGACTAGGTCAGGGTGGGTGGTGTGATTGTGTTTGAATGGTCATTATGGAAATTATGTAATTAGACACTTTCATCATGTTTGTGCAAAAGATTATTTAATTTGCCTCATGATTTTTTTTAACCTGCACTATATATTGTGATGGTTAAGTATCCTTGTTTGTTTATCCAAATTATTGATTTCTCCTGCAGTCGGTGTTCATCAGCAAAGATTTGAGCTGTATGAAGATTACCATGTTTGTGGCCAGCGTGCTGTTCCTTATGACCATTTCTTTGTCTGTAAAGAAGGTAGGGGCCATGCATTTACACACTACTACGCATCTCCATCACTAGTTCATCCACAAATAGATAATTTGGACATATAAGTTGAAATGGCTTGTGTGCTGCCATTGCCAATGGTGGCAAAGAGGTGGCAGGGAGTTCATGTGCAATGAATAAATGTTTATTTACCATTTATATCTTACCTGTAATGACTTTATACATGGAACGACTGTGGTGGGTCTGATCAACAAGAATGATGAGTCAGCATACAGAGAGGAGGTGCAGCGGTTAACGGACTGGTGCAGAACCAACAACCTGTCTCTGAATGTGGACATAACTAAGGAGATGGAGAGAGTGCAAGGTGCCCACCCCCCCTTGAGCATCACTGGCTCTGCTGTGGAAATCGTCACGAGCACTAGGTTCCTCGGTGTCCACATCACAGAGAACCTCACCTGGTCCCTCAACACCAACTCTATAGCCAAGAGAGCCCAGCAGCGCCTCTACTTCCTGCGGAGACTGAAGAAAGCTCATCTCCCCCTCCCATCCTCACCATGTTCTACAGGGGGACTGTGGAGAGCATCTTGAGCAGCTCCATCATCGCCTGGTTTGGGAATTGCACCGCCTCCAACCCCAAGACCCTACAGCGTATAGTGAGGACAGCTGAGAAGATCATTAGGGTCTCCCTCCCCTCCATCATGGACATTTACACCACACGCTGCATCCGCAAAGCCAGAAGCATTGTGGACGACCCCATCCATCCCTCACACAGACTTTTTTCACTGCTGTTGTCTGGCAGAAGGTACCAGAGCATCCGTGCCATCACTGCCAGACTCTGCAACAGCTTTGTTCCACAAGTGATCAGGTTTTTAAACTCACAAGGACTGAACTGAAAACCCCCTCACACACATACTTTAAACTCACACACACAGACACACACACACCTCTTTTGATGCTCTGCTTGCACTATCTGGAACATTGCTGCTAACACTGTGTTTACAATTTGTTTACTCAAGTACTGTGTATATCCTACCTCAGTAACTGCTGTGCTAGGGCTGGATAATAATTCAATATCAATATATATCGCGATAGATATGATTTTTAAACACATTTCCGATAATTCGAAAAACATCATTTACAACATCTGCACTGACTGATGTTCATTACAGGGAGCTGTTGTCAGTTCATTGCATTCAAGCCAAGCTGAAAGAGCAAAACACAGTGATTGATGATGTACACCACAGGCACACAGCCAGTGCTCAGCAATAGCAGGCTAGGCTAGGCTAGGCTAGGCTCCAACGCGACACGTTCTAGCTGCAAAATGAGTACAGCTGCTCGCAATACAAATGTGACTGAACAAGCTTCCACGAGTGATAATAAAGCAGACAAAATAGTTGATAAGAGAGGAAAGACTAATTCAGTGGTGTGCAAGTGGTTCAGCTATCGAAGATGAGCAGCTGAAGTTAGCGTCATATTTTGCGACCACAGCTGACCTGTGGTCAAGCCGAACCTCCAAACCATACATGAGCCTGACAATCCACTTTATTGACAAAGACTGGTAGCTTGTCAGCGTATGCCTCCAGTCTACTTTCCTGAGGATCACATGGGCGAAGCAATTGCCGCGGGACTTGCGGACGCGCTCGCTTCCTGGGAACTAATTTCATCAAAGCCACTGAGTTGAATGGATGGACAAGACTACAATGCTTCGGGCACTGACTGAACTCTGCTACTGGTAAGTTATACACAGTTAATATATGTTTGAGGCATATGTTAAGTTATTTAGTGTATGGTATGAGTATATTTTTGTTAAGAAAATCATTGCAGTAACAAATAGGCTATGCCATAAACAAAATGACCTAAACGTATCATAGCAGTGTTTGTATGTTTTTGATAGCTATTTTTATATTCTTTATATTTGTTTATATTCTTTTTATATTCACACAATTTTATTGTGTGCAATTTATGCCTGCTATTTAGTTGTTGCTTGCCATGACATAAGAATTTAATTGAGCATGTGTTATACTGTGTATTTGATAAAAAAAACAACTTTGAGTTGAGGTGCTCTGTGTTGTGTATAACTATGAAGTCTTGCGCTGCACCCTTCAGTGGCTGCTCGCTACTCAGCATAATGCTCCATACCATACCCGGACACTATATATTACTTATTAGGCCTATATTTTGATTAGGTCATTTCATTCCCCTGATTTTATAGGGTATTTATTTCATCTGTAGTCAAGAAATACATATTTGCATGGACTATACATACAGCAATTCTCTCAAATTCAAAGGTGTTTTTTTGACATGGGAACAGATGTTTGCCAAATCAAGTGTGAAATAAAAACAAAAATATATACATAAGCAGGAGAATTGTGATTTTGCTGTAAGAATCATATAAATAAGTGAAAAAATTGTAGTTAAAATACAAATACAAATGAGAACTATACAACAAATAACATTTTTCTCTCTCTATCTACAGAGAAAGTTAACCAAGATAAGCGAGTGGACAGAGCAATTGGGGTCTGTAAAAAGGTGATAGCTGCATTCTCCTTCTCCTGGAAGAAAAAGCAGGACTTTGCAGCTGCTCAGGAGGAGTATAACTTGCCAAAGCACAAGTTCAAGAGTGAGACACCAACAAGATGGGGCTCCCGTCAACAAATGGTGTAGCGGGTTCTGGAGCAGAAAAGGGCCATCACAGAGGTCTTCTCAAAGGACAAGAAGACCAGGTCGCTGGTTCCCACCTGGACGTTTAAGAGTCTATAGATGCAGCCCTGAGCCCACTCCTCGAATTCACTGATGCCCTGTCCGGTGTGTCATTCCTAAAACCAGTCATGCATCTCTTCAACACCTCCATCTTGAAGGAAGCAGAGGATGACACAGAGCTCACCCGGACCATAAAGATAACAGTGAAGGGATACCTCAACGAAAAGTATGATGACACAGCAATGGACGATCTGCTTGATATGGCATGCCTCGTTGACCCAAGATTCAAGCTTCAGTACTTGCTCAGGAGGAGAAGAGACAATACATCAAAGAGCCATGTTGGAGATGCTGAAGGGAGAGAGAGCTGTTGTGGTAAAGGAAAAGAGTCTAGTGAAGAAGCTATGGGAGATGTTTCTGCAGCAGTGCCACCAGCTAAGAAAGCAAAGCGGTCTCTGGCTAGCTTTTTTTCAAACAGGCCCACCACTACCAACACAGCAGGCCTGAGTGCACAGCAGGCAGTTGAGAGGGAGCTCGGCAACTACCTTCTGGTTCCAGATGCTGACAATGACTCAGATCCTCTGGATTGGTGGAAAATCTATCAAAAGAAATTCCCCAGAGTAAGCAAACTGGCAAAACAGTACTTGTACATTCAGGCCACAGGCTCCCCCTCTGAGAGGGTTTTTAGCTCAAGTGGCAACATTGTCACAGGTAAAAGGGCAGCTTTGAAGACAGATAATGTAGATCAGCTTGTATTTCTTGCCAGAAACCTCTAGGGCCCATCATAGGGTGTCATCAACCCTCAAACATGTCCCTCCTCCAGCAACAAGGGTTTTTATTGTTGCTCACTTTTTTTTCTGTATTCCGCAGCTGTTTTTTCTGTATTCTGCAACTCTGAGCACTTTTCTTATTTTTTTATCCTGGCTGAAGCACTTTTGTTTCAATCTATGTACTTGAGAATAAGATAACCAGCCTATGTTGTAGTTTAAAGTTAGCTTGAAGATATTAATATTGATAAAGCCAAGAAGTTTATGTTTATTTGATGGTGATGTCATGTTTCTTGTTTGTATATGAAGGCTGAATACAAATAAAAGGTGAACATTGATTTATTTGTGCCATTTTCATTTCTAAAATTTCATATAGTTTTATAGGAGGAGGTTTTATAGACAAATTCATTCATTGGCAAATTCATTTTTCAGAAGTTTGTAGGTACAGATATCCGTTGTGGACATTCTTGGCAGTTTTTCTGTGGCTTTTATATTGTTCATATCGATATCGGAATTATATCGTATCGAACGAAATTAAGAAATATATTGTGATATAAATTTTGGCCATATCGTCCAGCCCGATGCTGTGCTCACATATGTTATCTGACCACGTATACTCACAGCATGTTAAGTATCTTTGCACCTTATTCTCACTACCTCGGGTTTAGAAATGAGTGCTATGTCAGCACTGCACTGTCCTGTCTGTTTACTGTGTCTAATGTCTGTTTTAAGTATTTATTGTATTGTGTCTAGTTCAATTTTTTTGCACACTTATGTCTGCACATTTGTACTTTGTACTGTGTATTTTCTTCCATGTTGCACCTTGTTCCTGGAGGAACATAATTTCGCTCCACTGTGTACTTACACCCAGATGGAATGACAATAAAAGCCTCTTGACTTGACTTGGAAGCAGATATTTGCTTTTAAGTTTTACATAACCAGTTTTAGTTTTCATTGAAAAAGAGCATTGCAAGCACCAAATCTGCAGACCAAAGATACAGCAAGCCTGGTCCTGCAGTAAACCACACCCACATCATGTCATGAAGGGCTTGTTAATGAGCTAAATCATTTGATAAGGTGTGTGGGGAGCATGGAAATAACTAAAATTTGCTGAGCAAGGGCACTCCTGGACCAGGGTAGGGAAACACTGCTCTACTCTGTAGCGGCACCATTTTTACAGCTCCCCCAGGCACATCTTTTGACCACAGCTGGAGCGTCAAATGCATGCCATGTTAAAGAACTGAAAGCTTGATAGCAACGATTGGAGGGCTGAGAAAAGATGCCTTGACATGAATTTAACTGTAGTTCAGAACACGTCAACGTTAACTGATGAACAAATGCATCTTCAATGTAACTATTCATTTAACGTACTAGCTGACATAGCTAGATAGCTAAAGACATGCTTGTGTGCAGTTAACTAATTTTGAATTGCTATGTATATAGTAGTGTTGTTATACAGATATGGAATTCAATCCAGTATGCATTGCTTACTTTTTTCAGGTGAAACTTGAAAGATTACTGTTTCCATCTTCACTCACTCTCTGCTCAAATGGCTGCTATGCAATGCTGAATTGTGATGGCAGCTGCCACCCTGTAGATCTGCTCCTGCTACCATTATACAATAGGTGCAATTATATAACAGAATGCCACTGCGAGTTTGATTATTTCATGCCCAATAAAACAACTGTAATTATTCTTGCAGAGTATCCGTGGAGAGATTCAGCCCCTTGACATGGCCGACAACTCCGTGGATGACTCCTATGAAGGCTGTAAAGATGCCATGTATACTTTGGTGATGTCAAAATACATGGAACATGAACAAAATGCAACTTCTTCTTGCTCAGCTGCCTGGAATAAGGCTCTTGGTAACTACATCAGAAATGGACTCGGGGTATATCAGTCCACTGCTATTTCCATGTACACTGAAAACTGTATATATGCCCAATTTAACAGAGTTTCTCGTAACGGATCAGCAGCATACAAGTCAGGTGACTTTCAGTTTTATACACTGCATTTCTTTCTGACTGATGCTATTCAACAACTCAAAAGAAATCAAACTGAGTGTGTGACCACATATCGCAGAACCAATATCAAATTTGAAACAGGAGTTCTCAATAAAACAGTTCGATTTGGGTCTTTCACATCTTCCTCTTTGAGCAAGAGTTTAAAAGAATTTGGTGAAGAGTCTTGTTTTCAAATTTACACTTGTTTTGGAGCTGCAGTGGAAAAATTCTCAGCGTTCAAGAATGAGAAAGAGGTGCTAATTCCTCCATATGAGACCTTTCTCGTCACCGCCATTAAAAAAAGACACAAGCAGAACAATCTCTGGTGTAAAGTGGTGTATGAACTCAGCAGTGCTGGTAAGAGGAGTAATCTTCAGTGCATAAAAAACAACAACAGTTCATCAGCAGTATTGCCATCCATACTTATACCTGTTCTGCTGTTCACTGTTCTATTGGTTACTTAAGAAACATCAGTAAACAGCTCATGCAGATGCATACAGCTCTCAGAGAGCAGTTCACAGTATGTAAATATCCTCTTCAGTGATGAGTTCTGATTATCTATGTCTTTTTGACTGTATATTACCGCACTCCAAATTATTGTACAGAACTGATGTTACAGAGCTCATCACAGAGCTGTCACTGTCCTTTCAGAATGTGTTTAATACAACTAATTTTCAGGGTTTCCTTTGTGTAATTAAAATTTTGATTTGAATTTTGTGGCCTGAATGGCCCACTTTTTTGGTGTATAAGTCATTTGGTTACTTTTGTAATGTTGAATTGTTTTTTGACCTATGTACCCAAGTTCAGACTTTTTCAGTAATAACTCCATTTAAGGTGTGTTTTGACGATTACAATTCTTAGACTATTGCAGTATGCATGTCACATTTTAGGCCTTTAAAAAGCATCATGTTTACTACTCTTAATGTTATGGGTGTTACTGTAGCTTACATCATTCATGCAACTGTTTTGTGTTCTTTGCTTTGGGAGATAGTAAGTTTATGTTAAATTCCGCAAATAAACAGTAATCATGTATTAAAATGTGCAGAATTGTGTTTTTTGTAGAGCAGTGGTCTCCAACCTGGTCCTGGGGAGATTCCTTCCTGTAGTTTTTATTTTCAACCTGCATCCAATAAGCTTCCCCGCCCTTTGCGTAACTCTAATACATCTGAAAGAGGCTAATTAGCTGGAGCAGGTGTGGTTGGAATTAGGCTCTGCAGGAAGGTAGCTTTCCAGTATTAGGGTTAGAGATCACTGCTGTAGAGGATGTGTACTTATTTTCAGAAAACATGCTATTTGGCCTTTGTATACGACTATATATATATATATATATATATATATATATATATATATATATATATATAGTATATATTATTGGGCAGTGGATCATTCTCAGCACTGCAGTGACACTGATGTGGGGGTGGTGTGGTATGTTAGTGTGTGTTGAGCTGGTCTGAGTGGATCAGCACACTAAGTGGTGTGCTGCCCACTCAATTAGACACTCCATCCCTGTTGGTCAACCTTGAAGATGTAAAGTCAGAGACAGTAGCTCATCTGTTGCTGCACAGTTTGTATTGGTCATCCTCTAGTCCTTCATCAGTGGTCACAGGACGCTGCTGGCTAGATATTTTTGTTTGGTGGACTATTCTCAGTCCAGCAGTGATACTGAGGTATTTGCTGCTGTGACACTGATATGTTTTGTGGTGGTCTGAGGAACAGGTAAATATGGACTAACAAATTATGCAGAGAAATAGTCAATAATTGTAGACCTACAAAGTGCATCTATATGGTAAGTAGACCTGATAAAATAGATGAAGAGTCAAGTCAACTCAAGTCAAGAGGCTTTTATTGTCATTCCATCTATGTACAAGTACACAGTGGAGTGAATTTACGTTCCTCCAGGAACAAGGTGCAACAAGGAACAACAAGTACAAAGTGTGAATGTGCAGACATAAGTGTGCAAACAAAAAATTAAGCTAGAAATAACACAATAAATAGGATAAATTAAACAGACATTAGACACAGTAAACAGACAGGACAGTGTAGCGCCAACACAGCACTCATTTCTGAGCATGAGGTAGTGGAATAAGGTGCAGAGATATTTAACATGCTGTGATCTGTGAGTTTACGCAGTCAGATAACATACGTGAGCACAGCAGTCACTGAGGTAGTAAAACAGTGTAAACACAGTATTAGCAGCAATGTTCCCAATTGCAAGTAGTGCATCAAAAGAGGTGTGTTAGTTCAGTCCTTGTGAGTTTAAAAACCTGATTGCTTCTGGAACAAAGCTGTTGCAGAGTCTGGCAGTGATGGCACGGATGCTCCGGTACGTTCTGCCAGATGGCAGCAGTGAAAAAAGTCTGTGTGAGGGTTGGATGGGGTCGTCCACAATGCTTCTGGCTTTGCGGATGCAGCGTGTGGTGTAAATGTCCATGATGGTGGGGAGAGAGACCCCGATGATCCTCTCAGCTGTCCTCACTATACGCTGTAGGGTCTTGCCTCAGAGGCGGTGCAATTCCCAAACCAGGCGATGATGGAGCTGCTCAGGATGCTCTCCACAGTCCCCCTGTAGAACATAATGAGGATGGGAGGGGGGAGATGAGCTTTCTTCAGTCTCCGCAGGAAGTAGAGGTGCTGCTGGGCTCTCTTGGCTATGGAGTTGGTGTTGAGGGACCAGGTGAGGTTCTCTGTGATGTGGACACCGAGGAACCTAGTGTTCATGACGATTTCCACAGCAGAGCCAGTGATGTTAACTGGTGGGTGGGCACCTTGCACTCTTCGGTAGTCAACAACCATCTCCTTAGTTATGTCCACATTCAGAGACAGGTTGTTGGTTCTGCACCAGTCCGTTAGCCGCTGCACCTCCTCTCTGTATGCTGACTCATCATTCTTGCTGATTAGACCCACCACAGTCGTTTCATGCATAAAGTCATTACAGGTAAGATATAAATGGTAAATAAACATTTATTCATTGCACATGAACTCCCTGCCACCTCTTTGCCACCATTGGTAATGACGGCACACGAGCCATTTCAACTTATATGTCCAAATTATCTATTTGTGGATGAACTAGTGATGGAGATGCGTAGTAGTGTGTAAATGCATGGCCCCTACCTTCTTTACAGACAAAGAAATGGTCATAAGGAAAAGCATGCTGGCCACAAACATGGTAATCTTCATACAGCTCAAATCTTTTCTGATGAACACCGACTGCAGGAGAAATCAATAATTTGGATAAACAAACAAGGATACTTAACCATCACAATATATAGTGCAGGTTAAAAAAAAATCATGAGGCAAATTAAATAATCTTTTGCACAAACATGATGAAAGTGTCTAATTACATAATTTCCATATTGACCATTCAAACACAATCACACCACCCACCCTGACCTAGTCTTGACCTCATCCAGAGTTAAGCCATAGTGATAGAGACCAGTATGGGCAGGGAGGTCAGTGTTTAAAGTTAACTAAATGTATACAAAGTGAAATCAACAGAGAAATCTCTATGCATATATGCTTCATCAGTGTATATGCAATATGTGCCACTCCAATTGGGTATAAATATGTAATTGATTATATTTTGATTAGATTTTCTGTTTATTGAATTATATACATTGTCATTGTTGATGACCAAGTGTCACCTTTATTCTTATACTGTCGCTGATGCCAGTCTTTTAGTACCTGTACTCTCGGTACCGTTATCCATTTTCCTCAGGTTTACACCATACAGTAAATACAAAACGATCCAAGGGTTTGTTTTAGTGCCAAAGGATTTCCCACACCTGTGATGGGTGACTCTATCATAATCCTTGCAACAGCCCTATCCTAGGAGTATTATACTAACAAAGCAGAGCCAGTGATGTTAACTGGGCGGTGGTCACCTCGCACTCTCCGGAAGTCAACAACCATCTCCTTAGTTTTGTCTACATTCAGAGACAGGTTGTTGTTTCCGCACCAGTTTGTTAGCCGCTGCACCTCCTCTCTGTATGCTGACTCATTATTCTTGCTGATCAGACCCACCACAGTCGTGTCATCAGCAAACGTGATGATGTGGTTTGAGCTGTACTTTGCAGTACAGTCATGAGTCAGGAAAGTAAACAGCAGCGGACTAAGTACACAGCCCTGAGGGGCACCGGTGCTCAGTGTGGTGGTGCTGGAGATGTTATGACCCAGCAGGCTCAGTTTTCCAATCAGCTGCTTGGGGATGATCTGTCCAGTCAGTGTATAATATTACATATTACTTCAGTGTCATATCGGGTCTCGTTGGGTTTTACCAAATATTTCAAGATCTACTAGTGCTGTCCCGTTTTGATTGTGCAATGTAAATAGAAGTGATTCAGGTGCAGAATATTTGCTTTCTTTATTCAGTTTTTCCTGCTTTGTACACTGTCAGAAAAACAGGTACCGTACAGGTAGATTTCTGGTTATCAAATAAAATAATAAGCCTCGAGTCAAGACAGGGAGTATGAGTCATAATAAACATAGAATTTTAATAAAATATGGTGCTGAAAATGTACCCTTGAGGGTTGCACCCTACAGTGTGGTGTATGTTATTGGTTTACACCATGGATGATAAGTGCAAAAGATCCAAACACGTCAGACAGCCCTGACTCAAAAGTGAAGACAATGCAGAGCTGTTAAACTACTTGCTAAAATTAGCAGGGCTTTATAAGGGCCATGCTCTTTAGTAGAGTGGGGCTGGCGCTTATTGCATATACGCTCTCAATCAGCTATACAAGCAACTTCTTTATCCGTTTGTTTCTGCATATTTTTTATTGAACTATTGGGTGGCTCTCCTGCCTGAACTCATCTCTACCACTCTGGATTAATTCTGGATTTTGAAATTCTAGATCTAAGCAAACATACTTTGTGACTTGCTGGAGGCAACTACACCACTAAAAGCAGGTTAGTAAAGTGTCTTTAAGCTGCTGGTGTGATTGTTATTCTGGCTATTATGCAACAAAACACCTGCCTTGTGTGTATGGAGAACAATTATACTGTTGCCTGATATCTGTGTTTATCTCTACCTGCATTGCCCTGAACATTTACACTATGATAGTCAAGCATCACTGATACGTTTACCAAAATCTCAATCTCTCTGCAGTCGGGGGTTTGTCCATTACAAAAGACTTAAGCTGTATGAAGATGACCGTATCTGTGGCCACTGTGCTGTTCCTGATGACTGTTTCTGTGTCTGTAAGGAAGGTAGGAGCTGTATATTTACACACTTACTAAATCACCAACACTATGACCACTGAAATTGTTTTGTATAAATAATGGGTCAAGCATTTGGAAGGAATAACAACCACAATTACCACTTCCTTGCTGATGTTTTTTAACAGCTGCTAATACATAAAAGTCTAAGTGTAAGCTATTGTGTATCTGATTATTTCATGCACTTTGTCATCTCTCCTGCAGAGCAGTGGTCAGACTCTGCCCCTGGACATGGCCAACAACTCTGTGGATGACTCCTTTGAGGGCTGTAAGGCTGACATGTATAAGTTAGTGGAATCAAAGTACACTGAACAGGAAAAAAATCATACTCCTGGTTTCTCGGCTGCCTGGCAAAATGCACTTAGTAACTGCAACAAAGATGGACTCAACATAAACCAGTCTGCCGCCATATACATGTATACACAAGACCGTTTATATAATTCAGATTGCTCGCATGTGGTGTTCAACAAAGCTTGCCGTGAAGAAAAAGCAGCGTACAAGTCAGGTGACTTTAAGTTTTACACGTTGTATTTCTTTCTGACTGAAGCCGTTCAGCAACTCAAAAAACAACTAAGTCAAAGGTTTTGGTGTGCAACCTCATATCGCAGAACCAGACTCACAATTAACAACGTGGCTGTCAATCAAAAAATTCGATTTGGTTCTTTCACTTCCAGCTCTTTGACAAACAAGTTGATAAATTTTGGTGAAGAGTCCTGTTTCAAAATTAAGACTTGTTACGGAGCTAAACTGAAAAAATACTCAGCTGTGCCACATGAACAAGAGGTGCTAATTCCTCCATACGAGGTCTTTCGCATCACAGCCATTAAAAAAAGAGATCAGAAGAATAAACTGTGGTGTAAGGTGGTTTATGAACTCAAAAGTGCTGGTAAGAGAAGTGATCTTAAATGCATAAAAACAAAAAGACCTCCAGTGTGGGATCTTCACCAATAATGTTACCCTGTATTATATCAGGTCTGTTTATCCATCCTATCCTGTTTGTCTTTAAGAGAGCTCTGTTTTAAATAAATGCTGTATATTACTGAACTTGTGATCTGGAAAGTTCTGGTACCTGCAGTACTCTCAATTGTCAAAAAATGGTTTATGGCTCAGTGGATCAGCATTAGTGCCATCTTTATTTGTAACTGTTCAACTGTTTATTTAGTAAATATCAGTAAACATCTCAGGCAGAAACAGCCATCAGATAGAGGAGTTGACAGTATGTAAGACTCCTGATCAGTGATTATTTCTGATTATCTATACCTGTTTGTCTTTATTGGAGACTGTTGTGTTTTAATAAATACTGCATATTACTGAGCTACAGATTAGTGGGCTTGTGCCGGGTAAAGTTATCATGCTGAAGCAACGCTACTGCTTAAAACAGAGCTTCTAAATGCTGTACATCTAGAACATGTTTAATACTACATTTCAGCCTTTTTTGGTGTGTTTGTTTGTTACATTATAAAGAAGCCAGTAGTCTGATCTCTCTTTTTTTCAAATGTACTCATTAGTTATATAGTGGTGGGCACTTAGATGTTTTAAGTTGATTTATGGCTTAAAAATGAGACTGCATTGTGTGTTTAAAATCACGTTTTTTAAATGACATTATTCACTTTTATTATAGCTTATAGATGTTTTTTAGTGAATCAATTCTTTTGCTTGCTTTGTTCTGAGAGGAGGCAGCACAGCATACCAGCACCTGCTAAAGAGTCTGGAGAGAGAAATTCAAAATAGCCTCCCTCCAAAAAGAAATACAAATCCCAGGCCATTTAAAACTTGTTTTTGGCCTTTTGTTTTGGTTCTTTGGGTTTAAGTCTATGTTACAGAGATGTCCTGAATTTTCTTTTATTTTCATTGTTATTTCAGATTGAAATACTTTTACAGGATCTTTTACACTTTTTTTCATGTGCTGTTGGGCTTTTACATGCAAGAAATATCTGCTATATGATGATATCACCTTTATGAGAGAAATAAAAATATATTTTCCATTATATGTGAAATCTTATTATTTTTTTTTAACCTTTTATATACAAAATTGTTACAAATGGATATACAGAATTTTGGAATAAACTCCTCTTTTATTACACCTGATTATAATGACACAGGTTATGTATCATTAGATCAATTATGTGTACAAGACACTATTGATTTTTGCTGAGGTACAATGACATAATGACCAGTGGTCACCAAAACTCCTCCTGGAGATCTACTTTCCTGCAGGGTTTACCTCCAACCCAAATATAAAATACCTCCTTCACCTAAGCAAGGACCTCTGAAGGTAATAATTAGATGGATCAGGTGGTGTGGATTAAGATTGGAGCAGAGTTGGTGACCACTGGCCTAACCAATAGGGCAGCTATGTGATTCAATGCAATAGCAGCTGGACTGTCAATAGCCAGCAGACATAAAGCAAACTAAAATTATAATTAAAGGGACCTGCTGAAACCAAGTCTTGATAGAGTTCACTTACAGCATGAGCTGTTATTTGGGGAAACTAATATATTGCATCAATGTATTAATTAAGTTTATATCAATATGGCCAATAGGCTGCACAGCCATATTTTATATTTTTATTTGGCCTATTCTATCAGTACACGGATAAGCGATTTGGAAAATGTGTGTGTGTGTGTATGTGTGGTACAAGGGAACTGGACAGCTGTCCAAATATTGAAAATAAAGCCATCTTCTTCCTCAATGACACATCAGTACATATTTTTCACCTTTAACCCCTTAAATGCACAGGACACATCGGTTCGTCCAGGTTTCCATTCCTCATTCCTATAACTTAAGAATAACTCAACCAGTTAGCAGGCTTTATATAATTTAAGGCTATAAAAGTCAGGTCTGAGGTCAGTCTAAAGACAATTGAGTATCTGGCACATTTCATCAGTCCATGGTGCTGAAGATAGAGAAGTATTCATGCTAGTGCTCCTTGAGGAATTGTGGCTATCCATAGAGAAGAATTTTCTCTTAGCAGGAAAACTATAATTTTATATATAATATAAAATAAAAATGGTTTACACCAACTTTCACAATTATTATCTAAATGAATAAAACAGCATGAAACATTTATATCCACAAAGAAAGTACTTTGTAAACAAAAAGTAGCCAAGAAATAATTCTCAAAGACCAGCACAACTAAACAATTTAGCAAAATAGTACACTGAATTGGTACACTCATAAAAACAATGGTTCTTCACACATTATTTTGTAAAGGAAAAGATTCCATATAGAACCATGATCACTCAAAAAACCCTTTGCATGATTTAAGGGTCCTTTGCACTGTGAAAGTGTTCTTCCGTTCTTCTACCTAGAACCTTTTTAAAAAATGGTTCTATATAGCACCAAACAGGTTCTTCTACTGTTACAATATGAGCTTGTAACAATAGAAGAAGCAGTTTCAGTGCTATATAGAACAAGTTTGAAAAAGGTTCACATTCTTTCAGAAAACACATTTTTAACTATAATTGTTTTTTTTTATATTTAAGGAGCAAAATTTATCCATCATGCAAATCACCCATGTGAAAAAGTAATTTCCCCTCAGACTTAAATGCAACCAGCCCTGTTAACCTCACTCATATTGAAATTTATCATCAGAGTGATGTTCTCATCACAAAGTTTTTACAAGCACACAAGGCCATGATCAAAAGAAAACCCAAAAGAGATGAGAAAATAAAGCTGTCAAATTGTATCAGCCTGTAAAGAATTACAAAACAATTTCTAAGTTTCTAGGACATCACTGAACCACAGAGACAGCCAATATCTTCATATTGAGGAAACTTGGAACATTAATTCAGTAAATATTTCCAAGAGTGGCAACCTGCCAAAACCTCTCCAAGGACCCAAAGGCAAAAAATCCAGGAAGTCACCAAAGGTCCCTGCAGAACATCTAAGGACCCACAGGTCACTCTTGCCTCTAATAGTTGAACAGTTGGACAGGTATGTTAGGAGTCGAGAGAGAACAAAAACATGGACTGTCTGGGGCTCTGAGGGCCGGTTTGAGACACACTGCTCTAGACCACAGGTTCCTAACACTGTTCTTTTACCTCCTGACATGCACATTTTTGTTTTTTTCCTGCTCTAACACATCCACTTCAACTCAGGAAGGAACTTTCAATTAGCTGATTATTTAAATAAGGTGTGCAGGGAACACTAAAATATGTAGGACAGAGACCAGGATTGGGAACCGCTGCTCTACACTTACAAATCTGAAATTCTAAATCACCAATACACCTATAAAACATCCATATTCATAAAGAACCTCAGTGTGGGAGTGGCAATGTAGATTAAGGCCCAAAGTTAAGTCTAGATTCTATAAACTGAGTTCCAAAACAATTAGGATAATATGTGAAATGCCAATAAAAACAGAAAGCAGTGATTATTAAATTCTGTTTGACCTGTTTTAAAATTGAAAACTGTACAAAAATACAATATTTGATGCTCATTCCAGTTTGATGCCTGCAACACAATCCAAGTAAGTTAAGACAGGAGCATGTTTACCGCTGTTATACATATTATTTTTCTTTTAAACAGCACTTACATCGCAATAAATGTTTGGAGATTGAAGACACCAAACGTTCCAGGTTTGAAAGTAGAACAATGCAAATCTTTAGCTGCATTACCATGTGAGAACTTCATTGTCATATTTTGCACCACATGTTTTCAACAGGAGACAGGCAGGCCAGTCTAGCACCTGTGCTCTCTGATTATGCAGCCATGCTGTTCAAACACATGCAGAATGTTTCTTGGTGCTGTCATGTTGAAATAAACATGGAAGTCACTGAAAAAGACCACGTCTGAAAAGCAACATATGTTGCTCCAAAGTATATTTTAACTCCAATATATAACTCTCAGTGACTAATACCCCTGACTAATAACCCCACATACTACAACAGATCCTGGCTTCAGAACTTAATGTTGTTAAAAACCTGCATGGTCCTTTTTTCCTTTGCCCTGAAGAACACAACGTCCTTTATTTCTATAAACAATCTGAGAGGTTGGCTCAGCAGACCACAATTCACATTTCCACTGTGCATCTGTCTATTTTAGATGAGCTTGACTCCAGAAAAGTTGGCAGCGTTTTCATGAGTGGACAAACCTAATGATTGCGAGGACACTGAAAGGGTATTCAAAAAGAGCTGAAAAATTCAAAACTTGGTGAAGCACGTGTCTTCCTTATTTTTGGGCCTGTGTGTGTAACATTAATCTGTAAAGACTTATGACATGGTCTGACATAACTCCCACAAAATCCAACCTGTAGTAAATCATTACTTCAGACTTTACAGAGTGACTCATAGCAGCTCACAGACACCATTTTTGTTCTTCTGACTCAGTAATGCTGCTTCTGCTAGAAAGACCCCCCCCCGTCACAACGGGGGTCAGACAGGTCATGTTGTCCTGGCATTCACCAAACCCAGACTCATCCATCAGACTGCAAGACAAAGAAGCGTGATTTGTCACTCCACAGAACAAGTTTCTGCTGCTCCAGAATTCAGTGGCGGCGTGTTTTACACCACTCCATCTGACGCTTGGCATTGTGCATTCTGATCTGAAGGTTGTGTATATCTTTAGTGAGTGATTCAACAGAGAATAAGCACTGTGTGCTTCAGCACTCAGCGGCCCCACTCTATGAATTAGTGTGGTCTACTGCTGCTGTTGCTCCTAGATGCTTCTATTTGACAGTAATAGCACTTAGAGTTGACAGGGGGAGATCTAGCAAGATAGAAATTTCACAGACTGACTTGTGGCAGAGGTGGCATCCTATCAGAGTGTCATGTATAAAGTCACTGAGCTCATCAGTATGATTGAGTATGATGATCATGTATTGCACAGTGTGTGTGTATGAATAATAGCCTGAATATAGTGAGGACATTCAGCGCAGTTCAGACAGCAGGAGATGAGTACCTCTCTGCAGTAAGGAGACTCATTGTAGAGCTTTATAGCAGTCTGTAAGAAAAATCTCACATGGTGCTCTTTAACACAGTATAGCTATAACAGTCCGCCAAATGTGCGTCTCTGTTTATCCAGTGTTGTATGCAGGGGTATTGTCCAAAATGGCTAATAGCTTGTTGAGAGTCCTGCCACAACCCCCAGAGAGTCCGGTTTGACTCCTACAACAGAGCCAGCCTTCTTAACAAGTTTGTTCAATTTTTCAGAGCACTTTTGTTAATGCTGTTACCGCAGTGCACAACAGCATAGAATATAGCACACATACAACAGATCGGTAGGCTTTTTGTGGGTGAAGCCGACAGTGATGAAAGAACTGAAAACGCACCACCAGAGCCATTAATGGATCCCTGAAGGACAGGGTTGGTGCACATGAGCAGCACCCTTGTCAGAATCAAAGTTGCACCAGACTTGAATGTGTGAGCTGTCATAAGTTCTGCTGTGCCTAGGAGGACATGGAGCTGTATATGCATTGCTTTGACCAGTGCACAACAAAGCAAGGACTGCCGCAGCAGTCGCATGCACCGCTTCAGTCTCTCTGCTTTGTTGCACTGATAGAGAAGATGCCACAGAGCTGGCATTCAGCTGCCCGCCAGTAAGGTACGCAAAGGTGCTGCTGCACTAAGGACATGGCCTGAGAGAAGACTGGAGGCATCCACTGCTGAGGAGCAGGCACACCGTGGTACTTGTGCCGGCCGGGGCGGTGGACAGGCCTACCCAGCATGCCCTGTGAGAAGGGGCCAGCCCCCAGTTTGGTTCAAAGATTCTGTGGTCCTCTGGAGTGAGGATTTTTGTTTAAGAATATATAGATATATAAATATAAATAGAATGAAATAGAATAAAAAGAACAGAACAGAATAAAGCATAAACCATGACTTGTGCAAAAGCTGTCTTTTTTAAGTGTAGCAAATGCTACAATACACTTGATTTCAGGTGACTTTTGGACTTATAATGTCCAGTCCAGGTTCCCTCTTGTCTACATTGATTTTAATCACTCTACTAAGAAGCAGCACTCACTGAGAAACAGGCCTCCATATTGATCAGACTTGATATGTACACAGTTAGCGAGGGGGGGGTCAAGTGGTAGCAAGTGGTTAACATGACTTGTGCAGCTAAAGACTCTGTGAAAATAAACACAGAAAATGTGCTACATGTCCTGTGTTCTTGATACAGGATGTGAGAGCTGCTGCACAACCACAACACCACAAAAAAGTGAGAAGAGTACAATGGAGTGCAGATTCACCACCATCGCAAACTGACTGACATGTAGAAGCTCCCTAGACTCTATCATGAGCTTAACCCTTTTGTATGCAATCTATTAACTGTTTTTGTCACTGACTGTAGAGTGGCATATCATAGCATGTTGACAAAATGTTTTGGCATGTTAGTTTTGGGTTATGTGTCCTCTAGCATTTATTGCACTTGGTCCATTTTGCTATGGACTCTTATTGTAGGGGGCAACATGCCCAGATGTGGCTTTCCACGCCCATTTAAAACCCTATGATTTCACCCTAGAACGAAACGAGCCATTTTCCCTTTTTTGATGGGCTCATGAATAATTTGATGAGCTCTTTGGCACCTGTACAATCTGTACCATTAAAGGTGGATCGGAACCTTTAGTTAAGAAGCTGGCACACAGGAAACAAAATTCAGCCTTGTTTAAAGATGAACATCAACCTTGCCTGTTGACCTTCAGAAAGAAGGTTCCTTGTTCCTGTTTGTTCCTTGGAAAGGGTATAAAAAGTGCAAACTTTCCTTTCACAGCCTGGTAACGGTATATTTATTACCCTTACATGTCTCTGCAGAATAGTTTTTTTTATTTGCTTTTCTTATCTTAAGTCTGCATTTCTGCTGCTTCTTCTTCTAGCATGGCTCGCAAGGTGACAGTCTGGAAAATGTATCCGTCAGGGCAAACTTGATGCTGTGAAATCTTCACACTGGCCTCTCATGTCCAACCCTTTCCTATACAGCTTAAAATCTTTTCCACCCCAACACACCTGATTCAGCGAAAGACTTAATAAATAACTGCAACAGGTGTGTTGGGGCAGGAATGCTAGAAGCTGCAGTTTACTAAGTACTGCAGGTTTAAATGGGTTTAAATGACAGCTCTAACACTGACTCACTTGCAATTCAGTAAACAGTGACAGAAATAGAATAAAACAAATGACATCATGAGTGGCATCGTTCAAAACTATAGGGTTATGCTTGGAATGAGGAAACTCTACATGAGAAAGAAGAAACTGTGGTTAAAATCTGAAGTCCAAGACTGATTTAATATTGACCGCAGCATTCATTCATTCAGTATTAACATCTGTCTAACACGTTTAGACTGAACGTGTTGCCACCAACATTAACTTGAATGATTCACAGTGGTTTCAGATCATGCCTCAAATTCCATCCAATACATTCACTCAAGGCTTTGGGTGTTATTCTTTTGTACACTGTTTTCTGTATGAAAGTTTTGTGTTCAATAACTGGCAAAACTGAAAAGCTGAATCAGACACTGATGGCAGTGTAACATATCACTGTCAAAAATACAGCTTTACAGATACACACACGCATCATTTAAACCGCTTATCCTTCTGGGCTGCGGGGAGGTGCTGGAACCCATCCCGGCTGTCAAGGGCAGAAGGCAGGATACACCATGGACTGGTGCTTTACAAATACAATTCTAGTCAAAAATATAGAGATATGCTCAGGGGCTAGTGCCTTAGCTTGCAGCTAGTAATTTAGCTTAGGCCTAATGTATTACCTTTGGGTTAGTGTGTTAGCTTGCAGCTGCAATGGCATGCCCATGTCATCTGCACACATATCACCCTTCACAGGTGAGTTAGTTAGTAGAACTATATAACAGACAGTTACTTTATGATGTGACATTATAAAATAATAGCAAATTATATTTATTAACACACCAAGCACAAAACATTTACTCTGACTTATCAGAACTAGTATATTGCTGTTGTCAGAACAAAACCTTGTACCTCCAAAATGATAACTTCACAGGAGAACCAGACATTTTTCCAAGCCACTGCATCTTTTGGTCCATTCATCATAAACTTTATTCATAATGTAAAGGACAACAGGCATTTTCCAATTATGTCAAAAACTGAAAAACTTTCAGATTTTAAATAGTCAACTTTAAAAGGGAATTCCACAGATTTTTTTTTTAATTTTCCTATAATTTCAATCAATTAAATAGATAAAATATAAACAAAGTTCAGTGCGGTTTGATATGAAATGCTCCATTCTAGAGAAACTTAGCAAGTCAGAATTTTTCACAGCGATAGTGACAAGAACTAGACCAGCCTTTCTCAAATGGGGTGCCATCTGACTTTGTCAGTGGTGCGGTCAAAAAATATTCTGAAGTTGGTGTCTGTAAAAAAAAATAAATTCCAAAAAATGACTAACACCACTTGAAATTACAGATCATTAGTCACCTCATACATCATCTAAATTTGCCTCCCTATGTCACAATGTCAACACTAAGGTCAGCGTATGACTACATACTGTATATGTTGATGTAAATAGCATACTACAGTGGGTTGTTTTTCTTTCCTGCAGGTTGCGTTATGGGAGTGTTGCATGAAGCACACATGGAGCGTTTTTTGAAATAAAAAAGATTCCAGAATCAGATAACACTGAATCTGAGCTCCAGACACTTCATCATCCAGTAGTAGTTCCGCAGCGAGGGAAGTAGCAGCCAGCAGCAAAGAATAGACAGTATGATGACAACTGACTGTCATTCACGTTCATCTTTACTGGGTATTCAAGCCCTCTCCATATATGCCTCGTATGTGGAATGAAACTGTCAAACCAAGCAATGGTTTCCAGCAACTTAAGACACCTGACAACAAATCATCCATGATCAGCCATCAGGGATGCAGAGTAATTTATTAGTTTGAAAAGTCTACACAACTGGCAAGAGCAAGTGATGATGAATGGATTCAATTATTTCAAATAGCTCCTGTAGTTTCAAGTAGCACCACTGCAATTCTTCTGCCCAAATTTGTGCAAACTGAGCTTTTCGAGTGTAAATTATTTGAAGAATAAGCACAGGGAGTGATGGGGAGCTGTGGGCAGGAGCTCTGTGTCTGCCTCTCATCCATCCCTGCCAGAACATCTAAAAGAGGGAATTATGCAGAAATGTTAAAACATCAGTAGAATTACCCTTTAACATTTCTGGCTATTTCTGTACTACAATAGGAAGAATTTATCTGGACCAGTTTAATAAAATGCCTATAAATATCAAAAGCGGTCAACGCTGGTGTTGTAAAGGTTGAGGTGAATTGTACTTTTTGTACAATTAATGTGCGTAAATTGTATATTGTTTTGATAATAATGCACACAGTAATTTCAAAATGAACTTTTCATTTTCCAAAACTAACATCAATAACTACTTATAATTCTGATCCAAATGAAATCAGTATTCAATAAGAGTAACATTGCACTATGACTGATTTTGAATCAAACAGAACATGTCTAAGTGACTTTCAAACTGGGTTAATTATTGACGGCACACATTTTTTTGCACACACATACATTTATATAAAGAAACTATTCAACAAATGTAGTGAAATATACTAATAGTCATGTGTAAATGCATTTAGATATTGTAATATATTTGGTAATGCAGGTAGAAATGTATATAAATGTTTTCTAAAATACATTAAAGAGTAAATCGATTTACTGCATGGGTTGTAATAATTTTGTTGTAATAACAATTAGTGCAGTTATTTACAACCAGTATTTGCAAATAAAACAGTACGTCTACTTCTAATGAACTGAACTGACATTGTTACCTGCAGGCTCGTATCCCCAGTGTATAACACTGCGGTGACCGGCGGGGCTTTGTGTGTGTTGTGTTAGCAGATATCCACCACCAGGGGGAGACAGGGTCCGTGTATGTTTTAGTTATTTTCATATTAAATCCAGCGAAACGGGAAAACGTCTCAGTTCTCATTTTTGGTTCTGTGAAAAAGTCAAGAAATATATTTGTTGTACAGTTTCACAAACTAACCATAAAATAAAAATAAACAAAACAAACAAAACAAAACAAAACAAAACAAAAACAACAACAAGAATAAAGGGTCGTATTTCATTTATTCAAATTGAACATTTTCTAGCACTTGAACCGGAAATAAACGTGCACCTGTTGTCGCAGAAGCTCAGAAATCAGGAGGTGAAAAACGACAAAGACAAGAAAGATCGGGCATGGGTGTTGTAGGATAGGCCTGGTCCTGGCGTTTTGGGACACTACGTGACGTCTTTATAGGTGTTAGTATCTGATGTCAGCAAAACACTGAAGCGATATGGGGAAGAGACTCTACAGGACTCCCGCCGTTTAACAGTGAAATCTGAGCTGACCGATAAGGATGAGAAAAAGTACTACTGTAACGTCACGTCGTCGGATGTAACCGTCCAGCAGCTGCGCTGCAGCTCCAGACTGTGCTATCCTGTGTTTATACTGCTCTCCTTACAATACTGTGGCAGCTGCCCTGACTCGGGTTTCGGGAAGGAGCTAGAGGTGCGTTGTGAAAAGCTGCGCAGTAAAAAGAGACGTTGTGGTTTAATGTTGTTGTTTTGTAAATCGCCCTTATTAACCGTTATTTACACACAGAAACAACCGAAATCACGAGCGTAATCTGTAGTGCCCATATGCCTGCGACACGCGCGTGCACGTGAAGGGGAGTCAGTTCTGCAGAACCCCGACAAACAGGCCACGCGCGCATTCTGCACATCTATTTCCGGTTAAGGTGCTAGATTTTTGAAATTTGGATAAATAAAATACGACCCTTTATTGCAGGTGCTGTTTTGAGGGCCTGCAAAACAGAATCCTGGGGGTCAACTGGCAATTTAAGATTTTAAACCTTATAAAACAAAACAAAACAAAACAAAAAAATCTTATTTTTCTTAGTTATATTTAAAAATATGTTTAATAACTTATGTAAATTGCAAAAATACAAAAAAGTTATAAATACAGATTATAAAAATAAAACAAAAACAAAAACATTTGATAAATGTTTAATAGCATGTCATGGGTCTGCAAATGTGCCACTGGTGCAGGGGCCTCTCTGCTCCTGGTGCAAATTTGCACTTGTACATGTTTAGGCTCACACAAACTGGCTCAGATTGCTTCCCTTTAGGGTAAACAGAAACGCACCTGGAAGAAACAAATAAAACATTTACACGTGATCATATCAGTACTTAACCAAATTATACTTTCCAGCTAAATCATAATTTGTTATCACTGAATTAGATTATTATTAGAAGGGTCTGGCTGCAGACCTGCACTCTCAGCCTGACGTGCACCGCCAGCCTAGTAAGCCAGACATACACTGTGCTATTTTAGAAATCTCCTTTGGTGACAGATCCCTAACGCAGCCCCTACAGACGTTCTGTGTACAATAAAGCTGTTTCATTCAAAACAACACGCTGCGCCTCCGATGTCCTCAAAACACTGGCTGAATCTCAAATTGCTCCCTGCTCCCTACATAGTGCACTACATATTAAAATAGTGGCTCCTGCACCCATAAATGCATAACATGCCTAATAAATGCCTTCTGAAATTCAGCCATGTGTGCACAGTTCCATACTGGACAAACAGTGCACTATTTTGGTATAGAAGCCAGAACTTAGTGCACTACATAGGAAGGAGGGGCCGATTGAGATTCAGCCATTGACAAACCGCTACAGCAGCTGTACTAGCTAACTTGTGCCACACTGTGCAGTGAAGCTGAACAGGCGGTTTACAGACAGGCATCTCTATGAAGACAAAAATCACAGTGTCCATTTACACTACACCACAATTCAACTCAGTCAAACGGAGCAAAGTCGCCATATATGGACGCTGGTGCCGCAAATGTGGACTTTTTGCCTCCGTGTAGAAGCGGTGGTTGTGATTGTTTGTGGTTTTGGGTGCGACTTTGAGAAATCGGTGCGTGAGGCTGTTCACACTGTGAGACAAACAACCAAAATTTCTGACATGTCAGAAAATTATCCGATCGCCCGACGACTGTTTGGGCAGTTAATCGGGTATCGTTTCCCCTCTCACACTTAACAGCAAACGACGGCCGATGAAGCTGAAATTCGGCCCGATCATGAAATTCAATCGGCTCCGACCAAATCGGGCAAAAATCGCATAGTGTACGCCTGGCTTTAATGACGTCAGTGCACTTTCTGCCACGACTGTGTCTTGTCGGTTTTATCAGAGCCGGTTTATAAATTCTGCGGGTTTAAATGGCGTCCATTCATTGTGGGACTTCTGAACGTGGACAAGCGGTGAACCTTTGGACACCCCTGTGCTAATCTTATCCACAAAGGGCTGGTGTGGCTGCAGGTTTTTATTCCAAGGCGCAGGAGATCACCTGATCAGCAGTTTAAAGACTGAAACCAACTGATTAAACAAGTAGAATCAGGTGTGCTCCAGCTTGTTTTGAGTGAAAACCTGCAGCCACACCGGTCATTTGTGGATTAGAGTAGGTATATGACAAGGGTTACAGTCAAGGCCAAAGCTAGGGTTAGGAAAATTGTTAAATGTAGGTCCAAAATGAGGGTTGGGATTAGGTTTTGGATTGAGTTTAAGAAGGGATTTGTGGTTAATATTGGAAAAAGTTTAAATTAAGGATCAAAGCTTGGGTTAGGTATATGACAAGGGTTACAGTAAGGGCCAGAGCTATGGTTAGGAAAATGGTTAAATGTAGGTCCAAAATGAGGGTTGGGATTAGGTTTTGCATTGATTTTAAGAAGGGATTTGTGGTTAATATTGGGAAAAGGTTTAAATTTAGGATCAGATGTTGGGTTAGATATAGGACCAGTGTTACAGGAAATGCCTGAGCTAGGGTTAGATTTAGGAAAATGGTTAAATGTTGGTCCAAAATGAGGGTTGGGATTAGGTTTTAGATTGATTTTAATAAGAGATTTGTGGTTAATATTGGGAAAAAAGTTTAAATTCACTATCAGGGGTAGTGTTAGGTATGTGAAACGGGTTACAGTAAACGACAGAGCTAGGGTTAGGGTCAGGAAAATGGTTTAAATGTAGGTCCAAAATGAGGGTTGGGATTAGGTTTTCCATTGATTTTAAGAAGGGATTTGTGGTTAATAGTGGAAAAAAAAGTTTAAATTCAGGATCAGAGCTTGGGTTAGGTATGTGACAAGGGTTACAGTAAAGGCCAGAGCTAAGATTAAATTTGTGGTTTTTATTGGGACAGTGTTTAAAATTAGGACAAGAGGTATTGGTAGAAGAAGGAGTGAGCTAAAAGTTTGTTTTGAAGGGTTTTTGTGGGTAAAAGCGAGAGGTTTTGCAGTAGGCCATGCATTATAAAAAACAGGAAAACGTCATACCTATTATCACTGGCCGTATCGCTGCAATCAATTGCAAACGGGCAGCTTTTCTGAGCCGTAAAGCCAGAATGTTTCACATTGGTGGTGAGCGAAGGAAAATGCCCCCCACTCACACTTGTCAGACGGTAGGATGTAGGAAGATGCTGAATGTTGAATGACGTGGCATAATATTGAATGAATGAGACGAAATCAGTGCTTTTGTTGCTGCCTTGTAACATCCGGGATATTTATGCTAATCAGACCAAAAAGTAGCTGCTTCGATTGGTGCGTTGTCGGTTGACAAGTCTTCATCACGTTACTGCTGCTTGTGAGACACTAGCAAGCACGCTAAATTAGGCTTGGACCAAAGATTCCGTTTCCCAAGTGCAAACGCAGAAAGTGTCAACCTTGATGAAGTCTGTTCACCACAAAGGGTCTGAAAAACACCGCAGATCATCTGTGCCGGCGGTAGGTTAACCTAACGTGTCTACTTTGTGCCTGACGGAAATAGCCGTCTAGCTCTGGGTTAGCATGGGCATTTGTGCAGAGGCGCTTACCTTACCTTTTGCTCTCGTGCTGAGTTAAGTTTGACTCAGCATTTTCCCTCATCTTCTGTGCCTCCCGCCGCCACGGACACTGTTTATAGTGTTTTTTTATTTTTTTATTTTTACCCGATTCCCAATTTAGTTGTCTCCAATTCCACCCGCTAGTTAGGACTCCCCCAATCACACAATGCTATCAATGCTAGGAGGGTGAAGGCTAACACGGGCTTCCTCCGAGACCTGTGAAGCCAACCACTGCTTCTTTTCGAACTGCTGCTCACGCAACATCACTGGACAGCCGAACGCGCTCGGAGGAAAGCGCCAACCGCCACATCTGTTACGTCAGCTAACAGACGCCTGCGCTGACTAGCATCGCACTGAGTGATGGGGGGAGAAAGGCCCACCCAGAGAGAGCGAGGCCAATTGTGGACTCCCGGCTACGGATGGCTGTAGCATCACCAGGGCGATCTCCTGATGATGGGGTCAACGCTTAGATGGTTGTGCCACTCAGGAGCAGACCCTGTTTATAGTTAAACATGCTTTCACTACTAGTGCTTTAGTTCTCTGTGCACAGCCTGACCGTTTAATTGCTTTGCTCAAGTAGCTGCATAGAGTGCTCGGCCTTGTCTCTACGCTCGTTTTGGCTAGGATTTGCCTGTGTTGTCTATGTATTTATTTTGTCCCTTTTATTTGTATAAAAAAAAATCTCTGTTCACAGCTCATCACCTTTTAGGGAATGAGCGCAATCATAGTGGTATCAAAAATATGTTAAGGGTCTCCATATCTATCACAAATACTTGTGCAACCACAACCTGCCTGACTTGACTTTTGTCAAGTTAGTGGCCTTTTTCACACTGTCTCTAGAGAGAGGACACCTACCACAGGTAATGTCTTTTAACTTGTTTGTGTTTTGAAATCTCTAGGGGTTAGGAGTTTACTTTTGTTTTAAGTATTTTAGTGGTACTTATGTCAACTTCATTTACAAGAGCTTGTCTCGTGTTACAGGACTACTTCAGTTTTGTTGTTTTACCTGCATGCTTTTCACTTTTTTACTTCTTTTTATCTACACTCTTTGTTCGTTACTTGCCAGTGAAAACAAACATTAGGTCCAAGTTGTTCATTTTTGCCAATGCTGTGAACCCCCCAGACATACTTCCTGGAAAGCTTGGTGAGACGGAATGAAAGGACCATGTGCTTGTAGACCGACCAGAGCAGGTGCTGTCCTGTTACAGTGGACGTCTGCAGCAAAGCAGTGTGCAAGTAGTTATTGCTCATAGCAGTCATTACAGTGCAGACTTTACAAACGCAAACCTACATTTCATGAGTTTGTTAAAGCACTATATAATTTGTCCCATTTTTCAGGGGAACCAGTCAGTGTCCAGCACAGCAAGGAGCTTATGGAGATGCTGGTCGTGATCCGGATGCTCCAACTTTCAGTTAAGTATACATCGCTATACACGTCGTTATAATTACATGCTCAGTATTTTTGTGTTTTAATAAAGTAGATCATACCAGTGAGTTGAGCTAGTAACTGTGAGCTAAATGAGAATTTCTGATAACTGAAAAACACTTAACATGTGCTTTTTTTTCATAGATCCTCAGAAAATAGGTAAAAGGAAGTCAAGTGATGTCATCAGTGTGATTATTTAAAAATTTTGTTGCGCAGTAACACCAGTGACACAACTCCTGAGGACAACTTTCATTATATATTTTAAAATATTTATTTGGCGTTTGTTTTCTTTGTCATTTAATTCATATATTTCATTGTCATGTGTATTGCATGGATTATTGTAGTTAAATTTGCAGAAAAACGCGTTTTTACTTCAATATATGGCCTCACCCTTTACACATGACTGTGGGGATGAGGACGTCTGTGGTGCTTGGAATTCTAGATAATTGATTTAAAAACCAATATTGCTAAATTGATGGCTTTAACAAGGTAGAATTGTGAAAATAACTTATTGTTTCATATTAAAATATAAATAAATTGTAAATGTTTTGTCCCGTGTACATTTTTCTCCCAAATATCACTGGATCCTCCGAATTACGAGGTCTTTAAAGAGTCTCAATACAAATATTGCTACATGCAAGCTAATGCTCTATGCATCAATTTGATGTCACTAAGCCACACGCAAGTAAGGCGGTCTGTTGCAAGGTGTGCTACCTTATTGAAATGTTATAAACTATGGTAGAAGTATTCCTTTATCAAAAATACTACCAGTGGTAAAACTATGAACCCAAATTTAGCTTTTTTCAACAGCTTCTTCTTTGAGTTCTCTCATTCCACCTTAAATGGCACAGCAGCTGTGATTAGCAGTTACAAACATTAGCAAACAGGACAAAACTACAAACTATACTAAATACTGACCTGTTGGTTTTGTGAAACAGGAAAAGTTAATGTTGCTCAGCTGTCAAGCAGAAATAGAGCAACCTGCTTATTATCATGCCTTTCAACTCTCCATGAAGCTCAACTCGGCTTCTTTTTTTCCAGCTGCTAATTCAAATTTTCCCCTTTCTAGAGAGTTCTATAGAGTTCTATAGTATAACTTATGCAAGTCTAGAATTGTGTTTTTCAAAAAAAAAAGGTGGTTCTGTAGGAGGCCAATTTGTGAAAAACAAATTTAAGTTTAAGAACTGAGGAGACACTGCTGTAGTTTTGAAAGTGAAATGTTTTCCTGTTCTGATTTGATATAGGAGCTTCAGCTGCTCAACAGTTCAGGGTCTCCTTTGTCGTATTTTTCATTTCATAATGCACAAATTGTTTTCAGTGGTGACAGGTCTGGACTGCAGGCAGGTCAGTTTAGCACCCATACTCTTTTAATACAGAGCAATGCTGTTGTAATACATGCAGAATGTGGTTTGGCACTGTCTTGCTGAGATAACGAAGGCCTTTCCTCAAAAAGACGTCTGCATGGCAGCATAATGTTGCCAAAACCTGTATGTATCATTCAGCATTAGTGGTGCCTTCACAGATGTGCATATCACCCATGCCATGTGCACCAATGCACCTCTATACCATCATGAATACTGGCTTTTGAACTGTGCGCTGATAACAAGCTGAGTGGTCTTTAGCCCAGAGGACAGAGTGAGCATGATTTCCAAAAACGAATTTCAAATACAAATGCAGTGGTGAACTGTTTTAATAAGTGTTTCTGAGCCCATGCAGTGATTTCCACTACAGAATCATGTCTGTTTTTAATGCAGTGTCATCTGAGGGCCCAAAGATCACGGCCAGCAAATACTGTTTTTTGGCCTTCTCCCTTGCATACAGAGATTTCTCCAGATTTTCAGAATCTTTCAGTGCTATTTTGTATGATGAAAAACAAAAATTCTTTGCTATTTTATGTTATGAAACGTTATTCTTGCGTTGTTGCACTATTTGATGGTGCAGTCACAGAATGGTGAACTCTTCCTCATCTTTACCTCTGAAACACTCTCTCTAGGATGTTTTTTTATACCTAATCATGCCATTTTTTTATGTAAAGAATGGGTTTGAATAATTCAGATTACAATCAAAATAAGGACAGTTGTTTGGGAAAGTTGCACTGCTGGTGAAATGTTTAGGCAATAAGCAGCGCTTCAACTCAGTAACTGAGGAGATAAAGCTCTGTAGCTGATATCTATCTGCCTTAGACTGCACGGTGAGCAGAGCTATCTGTCTGCTGAATTAGTAAAAATGAAGCCACTGATTCAGTGATGGGGAATTTTACAGAGCTGAGGTGAGATGTGAGATTTAATGGACTGAATGTTTCAAACACTGTTGTCACGTAACTTAAACATGTTTTGAACTAAAGAACGTTACCAAGGTGAAAGAACGTTCCATAGAACTCTAATGAAGCTGAAGGTCTAAACTCGTTCAGTCGTTCACCGACACCCAAACGATCAACCTGCTTTCACTCGAGCTCTCAGTCACAGCGAATCAACGGACACTCCTGCTTTAAGATGAAGCTTCCTCTGGTTCTCCTCGGCGCTCAGCTGCGGCCAGCGGTTCTTTGTGCCGCTGGCATTTCAGCAGCAGCTGTGACCTCTTGTTTTTTTCTTTACAGGTGGCGGCGGATTCTGGACGGACAGCGGACGACGAGGGCCGAAGATGCTGCGACCCAGACGGACGCCTGCGACGGTGAGTTAGCGAGCGGATATTCCTGCTGGCATAGAGCGCTAAGAGAGACACTTGATGTAGAAAAACGACTGTAGAGAGCGAAACTTAGTGCTGCTAATCCTGACAGCGTTTTCTGAACTGCAGCAGTTCAGTGTAAAACAGGTCTGAGGGGGTTTTTGGGGAGAAACGCTTTTAAAAAATGCACTTTTTATTGAAGAGCACACTCATGTCCCTCTCTCACACTCAGCGGCCCTAACCGAGCCCGCATTTAAAGCTTAGTAGAGAAGCTGTCTATTGCAGTGTAACTTACTGCTGTCTCACTCACTTATTTACAGATTTGTTTTGTGTTAGTAGCGTTAGCTGACTTTAGCCTAAAACTAGGCTAAGTCTGGGGTTGCTATGGCAACAGATTTCCTTAAAGGGGCCATATTACAGAATTACGTATTATCTGACAAGACTAAAATCAGGTTATTTTACAGATTTATATAACAGAAGCTAATCTTATCTTAATCTTATCTTAATTTAGGAATTTTATCTTGTTTTACAGTATTTTATCTCAAGTTAGTAAATCCTAAACTACTCGATGGACGTCGATAATCAGCTGTTATGTCTGTTACCTAGCAACTGACCATACTTGCACAGCTGAGACGTAAACACGTCTTTACAATAATGTTACAAATGTAGGTCAGTTTGCAAGAAAGCTGCAGTTATGGATGTAAAAAAGGTGAAAACTAAAGTGTGATAAGCTGTAAGATGTGAATTAGTGAGAGCTCCGTGCTGTTTATCAGAACAGTGTCAGTTCTACTTCCCTTTAATCAGCAGCGCCAACGTTATTCCTCCTAATAAACAGACACACGATCAGCTCTGTCTCCTCATTATTCACCACCATCACTGTAATATCTTATTAGAGGATTCTTCATCAACATGAACACACGAAGGCAATAAGACGTGGAGATCGAGTCTGCAGTGTCTGGGGTTTTAAAACGTAGAATTAAAAAAGGAAAACATCTCAAAAGTGATAAATATAATGTCGTTTTGCTAGAATTGAACTATCCTACCTGTCACAGTTGTTTAAAAACAACAGAAACGAAGTTATTATAACACTGGGGTTGTCTTAATATTAGGACAATATTTAGAAAGTTTTGTATAGTTAGGGACAGCTGGGATAGGCTCCAGCACCCCACCGCGACCCAGAAGGATAAGCAGTTTAGATGATGTGTGTGTGTGTGTGTGTGTGTGTGTGTGTGTGTGTGTGTGTGTGTGTGTGTATATAGTTAGGATGTTCGTGTAATACTGTTTTCTTATCTGGAGTTAGGATAAGATTATAAAGTGAGGAACTGTTGTTCTGTAGTAGCTTTTGTCCTAAAAAACCTAACTGAAGTTGTCATGGTAACTAAACAGGTAAGATTTCAGAGATAAGATGTTTCTGTAATTTGGCCTCAGAGTAACAAACGGTCAGCTCGTAGTGACCCTTCAGCTGCCCTTCATTCAGGAGAATTTGTGAACAGTGCTGCAGATTAATCTTAACATTGTACGAGCCTTTCAGGATCCTGAATATGTCACTTATTATTTAAATTATTTTCCTCAGGAACGGAGGAACACAAGCGGGCCATCTTTTCTTCAGGATGTGCCCCCATGCGACAGGTGGTCTATCTTACTTATCAGTTTAAAATGGCTAAAGATCATAAAGATACACCAATATCCCTGTATTAATCATGTATTTGTCTTTGCTGTAGGTTTCTGTGCTCAGCTGGGAGCAGGCAGTCTTAATTCCACCTCGTTCTTGTGGAGCGCTGGTGAGAATTAAGGTAAAATTCAGCTCTTCACACAATGTTTCAATGCAAAGAAAGAAGATTTTTAGTGCTAATGTCTGCTTAATATCTCAGTTTCCCCTAAACACTTTATATTCTCTTTTCCTCTGTCTCTGTAGCAGCACTGCCGAGCTTTGCACAGAGCAAACCGGTTGTTTGCTCACACCTTCTCACAGCCACTTTTTGACAGCACGAAGGTTCGTTTCAGCTGATTATTTTTCTAATAATACACTTTTCAGCAAAGAGAAACACTTTATTGACTGTTGTAGTTTGATTTGTGACAATGGTGAAGTTGATGATGAGATGTGTTTACATGATTCCTGCAGCTGGTGGAGTTGAAGCTCCAACATAAGACCATCTGTGAGGGGCTGGAGTCTGAGCACTGCTGGGTGCTCAGCAACGAATTTTATCGTTTGTTCCCGGAGGTGAGACTCAGTTATTGGTGCAGGTTCATATTTTCACTGTGATTATATTTTCTGCTGTCTTTGTCTGTTTTACTGCTTTTTTATTTTAACCTCATGGCGTTCACTGATTTTACAGCTTCCTCCTCAGCACTTCGCTACTGTCAGTGCTGTGGCCTGCATCAAGGTAAAGCT